ATGTAAACACAAACTTTTTTCTTGGATGCGATTAATCAATTATATAATACATAATATATGTAATACATAACCATTTCTGAGCAATTTAATGTTTAATCTTAAGTAATTAATGATTACTAATCTTTCAGTTTTTTACAGTTCACTTCAAGAGTCCTGTGGTGTAATTAGTCTATCAATCAATATAATATGATTAAAATCTACATGCATCATATTTCTAAATTAATTTAAAGCAATTTTTAAATAATTTTAGATGAAGAATAGCATGTCACACCGTTTAACACGTGATCAACTATCTATATTTAGTCACAAATGTTTTTGTTTTTTATTCCACGGCTCTCTATATCCATTTCCTGTTGTCCTCTAAGCAATTACTGAGCTTAGCATATGGATCGGAAGATTTTTTTGGCCTACAGTGATGTAACATGCCCGTGAAGACATCAGCAGAATCTGGTTTACATCAGCAGAGCACAGCAGGACAGTAGTGACGAAGTTTCAGCTGCGCTCGCAGTTTGTCTGTTTGTGTTGGCCGTGGCGTGCTATGGGGATGCAAGCTGATAAAAGGGAGTCTCATGCTCCAATTATAAACTCTCCAGGCATCCCAAAGGTCATTCCGTCCCTCTGGGTCTCAACAGGTCTCTTTGCCCAGGCTTCAACCCCCTTAACCACCACCCCACGTAAACCTTTGACCCCTGAGCTCTGATTTCCTGTGTTTCCATGCAAATCTACGAAGCATGTTTGCTTTGATAGTATTCATTTTAAAATGTAAACAAATAATCATTTCGTCCTGCTCTAAACAAAACAACAACTGCTAATGAAAAATAAGACCATAAACTTATCCACTATACTCCTCATCCTCCCTCTCAGCAAGCAAAACAACGTTTTATTGGACACCAAGGAGAGTCAATTTTGATAGTTTGAACTCTCATAAATAAAAATCAGTTCTGGTAATAATAAATTCTTTCAGGGAAAGCATTGTTTTTTTTCCTGTGTTCTCCATCCATAGCAATGCCTTTTGCATTTTGCACACGAGAGAGGGAGCCCTGGACAGAGTTTGCCGAATCGGCCGAGGATGGGCTCACCACACGCTTTTGTATTCAGGTAAGAGTTAAATAAATGGATGTCTTCCTGTAAAAGTTACGATCATCCTTTTCTATAAAGCATCACCTCAGTCTTTAGTCAAATATTTAACCTCAGTCCACTAATTGATTATTTCTGCAGTCATTACTTCTAATGCTGATACCACATGTGCTTGATTTTCATTTTGTAGCTGGCCAAAAAATACAACATGGTAGTGGTGTCTCCCATTTTGGAGAGAGATGAGATCCACGGTGGAACATTGTGGAACACTGCAGTGGTGGTGTCCAATAATGGCAATGTTCTAGGCAAATCACGGAAGAATCACATTCCCCGTGTGGGAGACTTCAACGAGGTCTGTGTCACCCTCTGCATAACAGTCAAACAACTGTCAGTGTGAAAGAACACAGCTACAGTGACACTCTATATTTAGAATAATAGTGTCATCACTTGTTTACATTAAGCTAAGATGAGTTAATTAAGCTGTAAATTAAATATTGATACAGTGCAGTCCAAAAGTTTAAGACAGTGAAAATGCTTTTGCATTTGTAGAATAAAAAAAAAACGTACAAATTAGAATTAGGTAGTACTGTATTAAAATATACATTAGCGGTCAACCGTTTTGAATAATGAGAAAAAATATAATTTTTTGTGTGTTTTTGAAACATGCTTACCAAGGCTGCATTTATATGATTAAAATACAGTAAAACGGTAATATTGTGTTTATTCCTGTCATGGCAACGCTGAATTTTCACCAGCCATTACTTCAGTTTTTAGTGTCACATGATTTTTCAGAAATCATTCTAATATGCTGATTTTGTGCTCCGTTTGTATCTGTTATTGTTGGTACTCAAATATTAACAATGGTTCGTATTATTATCAGTGTTGAAAACAATTTTTGCTGCTTAATATTTTTTTGTGTGGAAAGCATGATACATTTTATATAATGAATATAAAGTTCAAAAGAACAGCATTTATCTGAAATTTTTTGCAACATTATAATTGTCACTTATACGGTCATTTTTGATCAATTTAATATGTCCTTTGCTAAATTAAAAATATTACCCCAAATGTTTGAATGACGCAACAACATTGATAGTAATAAGACATGATTCTTGAGCAGCAAATCAGCATATTGAATGCTTTCTGAGAGATCATGTGACACTGAAGACTGGAGTAATGATACTGAAAATTCAGCTTTGTCATCACAGGAATAAATTACATTTTGAAATATTTTCAATAGAAAAAAAATAATATTTCACTATATTACTGTTTTATTTTTGATCAAATAAATCCAGCCTTAGTGAGCACAAGAATTTTTTTTTTTTCAAAAACATTACAATAGGGTGGCCATATGTGCCATTTATATGGGTCACGTCCTGGCCATGATTTTTATATTGCGAACACATCCAAAGTAGTTTGACCAATAACATGCAGGTATTGTACATAATCGACCAATCGTGGCGCGTCGTGCGTGAGAAGGTGAGAACGGTCAAACCGATGCAAATACGCGCACGTGTTTGTTCGTTCGTTCGACTTGAAGATGCGCACCGATCGTTGTATGACACCAAAGTACCGCGAGAGCGATTTGAAAGCATAAGGAGCCGTCTGCTCTGCTCTCTATAGCTCTCGTGAAATAATGTCATACAACGATCGATCTGCACAGTGCTAACAGCCAAAACCTGGATATTTTAGGCAATATAGAAATCCTGGCAAGGGTGCGTCCCGTAAAAAGGCCCGTATGGTCACCCTACATTACAAAAATCTTATTTTAAAAATAATTCCAAACTTTGGACCTCTAGTGTATTATACAAAAATGACCATGAACATCAAAATGTGCTTTTGCTTGAATGACAGCAGCACTCAAGCTGCATGAACTCCACAAGTTTGTGTAAAACCTGAATATCATGTTCTCCAGAATTCTTGATCCAGAGCATCTTGAGCTCCAGTGGAAACAAGAACTTCTGACCTTCTGAACAAAGTTACATAATGACTTATTTGATTAGTGACCTAGAAATAGTGCAGAATCTGACATATCTTTTATTCATTTTAGGTTGTAACAATGTATTATGTTTTTCAGAATCGTAAAACTTTATTTTCAGGTTTAAGTGACAAAAAAATCCCCACATTTTTGAACCCTTCTGTACACATAGTTATCAGTATTCTGTGCCACCACATGGGCATTTCTGTATCTTATTGGATTAACTGCTGTTCAGTGCAACCACTATAGAAATTCTTGTTATCAGAGATTTGTTCCAGCATGTTTGGTGTCTTTTTTCACAATTTTTCAGGTTAAACAAGTTTGTGTGTGTGTGTGTGTGTGTGTGTGTGTGTGTGTGTGTGTGTTTAATGTGGTTTGTGAGGACACAAATTTGTATAATGACATGGGTATGACAGAGGTATTACAACGAGAAGGTGATTTATGAGGACATTTTCAGTGTCCCCGTAATTCAAAAGGCTTATAAATCATTCAGAATTAGTTTTTTTTTTATCTAAAACTGCACAAAGTTTCTTGTAAGGGGTAGGTTTAGGTGTTGGGTGATAGAAAATATGGTTTGTACAGTAGAAAAACCATTACACCTATGGAGAGTCCTCATAAACCATAAAAACCAACATGTGTGTTTGTGTATCTGCAATACATGATCTGTGGGCCCTCTAAGTGGTTGATTTCTCCCCAGCTGTGCTGTTTATCAGTTTCGTGTTGTGCCTTTGATCCATTCCACACTGTGATAATGCTCAATTCAGGAAATGTGCCCACTCTCTTTTCCTGGAACAAGCTTGAGTGTACCTGCAGGAACCAGATGGCAGAAGATGGCTCAATTCTGTTTTTTTTTTCAGTAAAATTAAGGAGAATTTTGCTGCCGTCTATGCTGATAAATATCAGCGTTGGAAAATGTTTACACAGAAACTCTTCTGAGAATCCAGCTCAGCCCTGCATGAATTTCCATGCTGCATCAATTGCATGAATTTACACTAACATCACAAACTGTGGGCACAATCTAAAATACAACATACTGTATATTGTCTTAATCTTCTCAAAAGTAGATGCACAGATATCACATAGACCGATAACAACTGCTAAAACACAAGCTTATCTCTCATGCAATCTTTACAGTTGCTGAATCTTACACAACCTAACACATGAACTGTCAATGACAGGTGGTTTTAAATTAGTGTGCATTATTTGGTGTTAATCTATAACCACCTTTCCACTGTTCCAACAAACAGATTTTGTCAAAATTGTTCTGAAGAAGCCATTTATTACGCTCTCCTTATTCACCATGTTAAAATTAATGAATTTATGAAGATATACACATAAACAAAAGGTCACCAATATGTTTGCAAGACAAACAATTTTCTAGGACTAATCAACTTAATTATTTAATAGTTCTAAAATAATTATTTCAGGCATTATTATTCATTATTCAGCAATGCTTAGTATTAAAATATCTGCCATTCTCACCTTACACTGATAGTTTCAATTATTCAGTTTCAAAAGTTCAATTATTTGGAAGAATATTCTGTCAGTCACAAAAATTGTAAATTAAAATGGTTTTGCATAAGTCATTTTATGAAAAAAGATCATTTTAAACCTAGTCAGATTAGCTGTTGGTGAAGATGATCATGTGTAGTTCAAGACTAATGTGCTGTAGATATTCCTGCCGATAATGCTTTTGTACAATTGTTTAATAAATAAAACATAATAGTTCAATAAATGAGAAATATCCCCACCACTAAAGCACAGACTGATCATATATTATATCAGTGATATATCAATCACAATCTTATTACATCAGCACTTTGATTACTGCATGGCCAATCAAATTCTAATTCTGGAAATATCTGTTATATAAACAAAAGAATAAAACCTTTGCAACACACATGCAGCACTCAGTTATCAGTGCCCTTTTGCTACATAATCTAGCAAACTCACATTATCCTCATCTCTGCTTAATACATTATCCCATTTAGATCTGTCCATATGGCAAATATGGGTGTATGTGGGACCTTTTAGGGCATTAACATTTTGATGCATGTCATCCACTAAAGTGCAAAGGTCTTTAAAGACCTTTTTAAACCATTCAAGATGTTACATCCAAACCACTATGGGTGGCCTTGCCCATAATTTTTTATGATGGTGGTCTTGTTAATGTTGTTTAATTTATGGCAACATCAATTCAAAATTCCTGTTCATAATGTTGTATCCCATGTGGGATATTAACTACTGTCTTTTATTGAAGTGCACAGATTTGTGATCTGTGCACTGCAACAAGAATAGTAGTAGATCTTAAAGGAATAGTTCAATCAAAAATGAAAATTTGCTGAAAATGTAAGATGAGGATTGGCTTGTTTCTTCATTGGAACAAATTTGGATAAATTACATCACTTGCTCATCAATGGATGCTCTGCAGTGAATGGGTACTGTCAGAATGAGTCCAAACTGGCTGCATGTTTTAATATACAAATCCATCCAAGATGTTTTTAACTTAAAAACGCTGCATCTGGCCAAAATACGAGATGTTTGAACTTAAAATGCCTCAATGATGGATTTTATTTCTTATGAATATGCAACTTTTCTCTTCATAAGACGTTAATTGATGGACATGAGTCATGTGGATTGTTAGTGTATTATTGTTATGTTCTTATCAGCTGTTTGGACTCTCATTCTGACCGCACCCATTTACTGCAGAGGATCCATTGGTAAGAAAGTGATGTAATGCAAAGTTTCTCCAAATCTGTTCCTATGAAGAAATAAACTCATCTACATCTTGGATGGCCATTTTTGGGTAAAACTTTTTACTTTAAACTCTCATAGTTTTGGTTTGAAAAGCTAAAATTGAATTGAACTCAAACTTGATTAAAAATGGAACTACATCCTTCTCCAGTCAACATATTACATGGAAGGGAACACCAGCCACCCTGTATTCCAGACACAGTTTGGAAAGATTGCTGTTAACATCTGCTATGGCCGACACCATCCTCTCAACTGGTTAATGTACAGCATACATGGGGCTGAGATCATCTTTAACCCTTCGGCCACAGTTGGATTGCTCAGGTATCGTGTTGTACACCTGTCTTATGGGAATAATGCAGAGCCCGTATTCCATCATGCTGATGCTGGTTTTGTGTTACAGTGAACCAATATGGCCGATTGAGGCCAGAAATGCTGCCATCGCAAACCACTGCTTCACCTGTGCCATCAACCGTGTGGGAACAGTATGTGCCACCTGTTGTCCAATAAGTGTGCCAAAAAAATGATTTCAACATTCTTAAAAATCACATAAATTATCCAATAGATGCTCTTGAGTCTAAAACATACACAGAGATTCTCAGGAAATGTCCTGCTTGCCCCAACTATGCACTGTTTATACTGTGATAATATCACAACCACAACTAAGGTAAACTATATATATATATATGAACTAATATGATTAGATAAGCGCATGCTAATAATTTAAACAGGATTATAAACCAAACTGCAAATAATGTTACACAGATGAAAAAACAAGTTGAGTGCTTGTTTTTTTCTTTCTTTCTGTGGCTCTCTGGAGTCTGATCTCTGTTAGTGGTTATAATGTCTTAGAGGGATGACTTTTATTCTCAGGGGTAGATACAGTAAACCAATTATCTTTAAACTGGCTTAAATTGGAATTATTTCGATAGTCTGTTATGCAGTGCCCATGTGCCTCACATATGAAAGCACTGGAGGTTCAGATAAGTGTTTTCTTCTGCCCTCTAGTGCTGATTTCTGGGTATTATTGAGTCTTGATGTAGATCTGTCTTTTCCAGGAGTATTTCAAGAATGAGTTCACATCTGGAGATGGAAAGAAAGGTATTTATCCATTTATTGTGAGCATGTGCATGTATTTGCGTATGTAAACTTGTTTTCTCTTGCTTGTGACTTGCACAAAAGTAAAGGCCAAGAGGTCCTTTAGTCATATATGTACGTTTGGGGTCAGTAAGATTAAAAAAAAAAAAGAAATTAATACTTTTATTCAGCAATTATGCATTAAATTGATCAAAAGTGACAGTAAGGACATTTATAATATTACAAAAGATTTCTATTTCAAATAATTGCTTTCTGTTCATCCAGGAATTCTGAAAAAACATATATTAATGCTTCCGTAAAAATTTTGAGCAGTTTTCTGTTTTCAACATTGATAATAATAAAAATGTTTATTGAGTGTCAAATCAACATAATATAATGATAATGAGGGATCATGTGACACTGAAGACTAAAATAATGGCTGCTCAAAATTCAGCTTTGTCACCACAGGAAAAAAATCATTTTTTATATGTAATACAGTACATTAAAAAAAAATTAAATTGTAACAATATTTCACAATTTTACTTGTCTTCCATTAGTCAAGTAAACAGATAGCCACGCCCCAAACTCATGCCATTGGTTGAGCCAGTGTTTAAACTACAAATTGCTTACTTACAGTTTGCATATTAAGATGAATATTAATATGAATATGCCAGAAAATTGCACATTTCACTTTTAATGAACCTAAAATGAATTAGATCTGAGTGTAATGGAGACATTTCTCGCAAGTCATTCATACAGCAGATGGCACTATCGGCCTGAAAATTAAATATGGGTCAAAACCTAAAGATCATTCCCATCTGTATACATATTTGAGTCCATCTGTCGCTTTCCCAGAGCTTAATGTCTCTGTGTCAGCATATAAAGGATCAGCGTATCTGTCTGTCAATCTAGTATCTGTATCGGTGGCGGGCTGAGGACAAGGGAACTAGTGGACAAAGGAAAGATCTAGTCTGTCAGGCTCTGTTCTCGCTTTCAGCCCTCATTACTGTTGCATAAGCCTTCAACCTGAACACAAAATCCCCCTTTGCTGTTTTACATGTGAAGCCTTTGTGTAACATGACTAGGGTCACACAGACATAAGCCACAAACATATATGAGGGGCATTTGTCCATGAATAGGGTACAAAATACGGTCTAAACTTATTTAAAAAAAAAAAGAAGGATCAGTGCAGAACAAATAAATGATCAGTGAAATGAGGTGCTCAACCTTCAGAAAATGTTGAAAATCAGCCTCAGGTGATGCAACTAGATATTATATGAGGTTTCATTTTACAATTCATTTTCTATGAGGTTTGCATGTTTTGCAACCCTGCTGGGGCATAAATAAATACAGTGACATGGCATGGATAAAAATGGACAGATAAAATGTTAAGACAAACAAAATAAATGATGCTAGGATGGATAATTTGACATCAAATGTTGATTTGTAGTTAGTTTTTTTTTATTCGCTTTGGTGCTATTTTTACAAGTAAGATCAAAACTCTTAGTACAAAAATCCAAACTGATCACACTTGTAACACCACTAGTCATTCTTTCAAAATCTGTTCTCATGCTTTCATTACAATTACACATATTTTTATCCACTCAATCATTGTTTCAAAACATAAGATTATTGTAATATATATTGAGAACATTTGATTTAACATTGTGATCTTCTTTCAATTTAGTACTTTTACCAGTCAGTTCATTCAAGAGCAAACAATGCAAGATACATATTTCAAATCAGCTTTGTTGCTGAAATAATTACAGTAATACAGGCAATAATTGTCATGTTAGAAAATACACTTACATTACCTAACTTGCATAACTCATGTAAAATCCATAATGTTTGTAAAAGTATTTATACAGTGTGCTATTGTATCAAAAGGTATGATGATGAAGGTATGACATGGCCATAAGGTTTTGTGCTAGAACAGAGATTACTGTAAATGCAGTATGACATATGACTGAATCTATACTGTAACTGAACTTTTCAGATGAAAGGCGAGTTATAGTAATGTGCAGTCTCTACCATGGTAAAGACTATACAGTATCGCATGGCATAATGTAATGTAAAATGCTGTATTTGATGCCATCTGTCCTACTTCTTCTGATACATCTCTGATCAATTTCTCTCCCTTGTAACCTGCTGTATGTTCACAAATTGTAAAACACACAGTTTTACAAATGAGGACATCCTCAAAGGGAGGTTTTTGGTGATTTTGTTAGGTTTTGCTCACTTCTGGGTGCCAATTTGTCCCCAAAATATGGTTAGGCACACACACACACACTCACAGGTATTCCTATCATTATGGTGACATGCCATAGGAGCAATGGGTTTTATATTGTACAAATATTCCATCCCCCTACACTAACCCTACTCTTAAGAAAATAGTTTTTTTCTCATAGAAAAAAAGGTCTCCCACAAGGACAAGGATTTCAGATATTGCCATCTTTGTGGGGATAATTTATCCCCCATAACGGGGATAAATTGAGAATTTATCCCCGTTTTATACATTTTATAAATTGAGAATTCAGGTAAACCATGTGTGTGTGGTTTACCTGAACCACACACACACGTACAAAATAGTGGTTATCGTCTAAGATAAATCACTTATAGTGCAAAAAATAATTAATTACATTTGGTTATCCCTGAATTGCAAACAAGTTCTTTAGAAACTATATCTATTGAATCTATGTCTATAGATATCTATAGATGCACCAAAAGATTCACTGATTAACCATAGAGTTAGATTAAATAATAGACAAATTTATTAAACTGAATGAGAAGACATGCAAATGAAAAGTTTGATAGTAAGAGCTTTATGAAAGGCAGTTACTGTGAATGAAACATTTATATAGATGAAACAATTCGTTTGTGTAGTGAAAAGGATACATTGTGATTGTGTGTATTGTACTAAGACAATTGAAAATATGCTGAAATGTTTGAAAAACAGCACTTTTGATGATCTGTTGTGATATTAGTACTAAGAGTTTTGAAAATGTAACAGTTGCTTGTGAAAATAGTACCAAAGCGAATAAAAAAACGGCCATTTAAAATTTTGGACAGTAATATTTTTTAAAGAAATTAATATTAAATTGATCGAAAATGACAGTAAATACATTTATAATGTATCCTGAAAGAATCCTGAAAAAAATTATTGTGGATTCCACAAAAATATTAATAGGCATTACAAATGTTTTTAACATAGTAATGTTTCTTAACCCTTGTGCACTGTTCGGGGTCTTTTGAGACACCAAATGACGTTTGCTGAAATAAAAAATTTTTTTTCCCTTTATCTAAATGGCATGAGATTTTGTACGGTTGTCAACACTTCGTAGCTCTACAAAAAAAAAAATTAAACTGGATTGATATTTGGTTCTATGTTAATGTGAAAAAAGTCACACTTGTGATGTTTAGGGTCTCTGGAGACCCCACTTTGAAATGAATGGGGAAACGATACCTTTACTTTTTAATTTGTCAAATAAAATCAATAAATAAAATAAATCCACCACAATGCAGACCACAAAATACATGAAAATGAAGTGGCAACCCTTCCACACGTTCACAATGCAGAACGTACTCGGTTACTAACGTAACCTCGGTTCCCTGAGATACGGGAACAAGTACTGCGACTGCTATGGGGAAAACTCCTTTTTCTCTGATGACTTAAGCCTTTTTCAATAATGCAGTGTAACTGCACGGCCATTGGTTCGTGCAGTGAATTAAAAACGAACCAATGGCTCGGCAGCAGAGCTTATATGGCCAGAATGGGCGGGGCCATCTGGCTATATAAGCGGGCATATCGCCATAGGATCCTCAGGTTACTTCGACTGAAGCGACGACCGAGTCGTGCAGCTACATAGCATGGCTAGTTACGCAGTACTCGTTCTCGTATCTCAGGGAATCGAGGTAACGTTAGTAACCGAGTACATTCCCTGTCGATACTTCACTCGTACTGCGTCTGCTAAGACGCTATGGGGAACTAGTACAATCCCGCTGTGCTATGCTAGAGGAACGACTCATGTTTGAAATTGCCTTAAGCACAACAAGGGGCCCAGAGGGACTAAGTAATTAGCAGGGAAGCCCTGCAGGAGGCAATAGAGCCAAGCTCGCAGAGGTCAGCCCGGCTTTCAGAATCGTTCCAAGAAAAACTCTGTACAGCCTCGGCACTCAGTGAGGGCCAAGAGCGTACAAGAAGGAAGGCAAAGCCTAAGCACTGGTTTGGCACGATTGAGCCCATTATGCAGAAAGGATCCGGGCCTGTAAGGCCAGAACGTCCAGATTATATAACCTGGCAAATGTTGACGGTGAGGCCCAGCCGGCCGCCGCACAGATCTCTGCAATGGACACACCGCTAGACCCCACCCAAGACGAGGCTATGCCTCTAGTCGAGTGTGCTCTTACTCCCATGGGGCAGTGTAGGCCCAAGGAGGAGTATGCTAGCGCAATAGCGTCAACTATCCATTTCAAAAGTCTCTGCTTCGTGACTGGAAGCCCTTTGGTGTGGCCACCGAAGCATATAAAGAGTTGTTCCAACTACCTAAATGGGGTGGAATGCTCAATATAAGTCCTCAATGCCCTGACGGGGCAGAGTAAGTTTAACTCCTGGTCATCCTCCGAAGGAGGAATCACCGATAGAGTTATAACCTGTGGTTTTTAGCATAAGGAACAAGGTCAATGGATTGTAGCGGCTCAAAGAGAGGTCTCTTTAGAGCCCTCAACACCGTGGACAAATCCAATGTAGGGACTGTGATGGGGCGAGGCGGATTAAGCCTCCTAGACCCCTTCAGAAAACGAACAACCAAATTGTTCCTGTCCACAGATTGGCCAGCTATAGGAGCGTGATAGGCTGCTATGGCTGCTACATAGACCTTAAGCGTGGAAGTGGAATGGCCCTTGTTCAACAGCTCTTGCAGGAGGGACAATATCAGAGATATGTCACAGGAAGCTGGGTATTCGCAGCGGGTCGTGCACCAGGCGGAGAAGACCAACCACTTAAGGGTGTAGAGGCGTCTCTTAAATGGAGCTCTAGCTTGAGAGATTGTATTTAGTACGCTCTCTGGGAGGTTCGCAGGCTCCCATCGAGAGGCCAAAGATGCAGAGCCCAAAGCTCGGGCTGGGGGTGCCATATCTTTCTGTTCGCCTGAGAGAGGAGGTCCCGCCTCAGGGGAATGGGCCATAGAGCTGCTACCAACAGTTGGGACAGCTCTGCGAGCCAGTGATGGTTCCTCCAGAGCAGGGCTACTAACAGAACATTGTGCTCTTGTTCCCTGATTCGCCTGATTACCTGTGGGATCAGGGCGATCAGGGGAAAAGCGTAAAGTAGGAGGTTGGGCCAGTTGTGAGCCAATGCATCCATGTCCTTTGAGAAATAAGTTGGGCAATGAGAGTTGTCTTTTGAGGCAAAGAGGTCGACCTCTGCCTTGCCAGATTTTCTGAACCGTCTGCGGGTGGAGCATCCACTCTTCTGAGAGGACATTGCTCCGAGATAGCAAATCCGCTCCTTGGTTCAGTTTGCCCGGCACATGCATCGCATGCATCTCAGCGAACGCAAGTTGATCTGGGCCCATTCCAAGAGGCGCTTCGAGGAGAGTCCTCCCTGGCGATTTATGTAGGACACTACCGTCATGCTGTCCAATCTGAACAAGACGTGGTGTCCCTTCAGGTCTGGCAGGAAGGTGCGAAGGCCCAAACATACTGCCAGCATTTCCAGGCAGTTGATGTGCAGCCGACCTTGCTCTTTCGACCAGTGGCCGAAAGCCGGTTTGCCATTGCACAGCGCTCCCCAACCTAAGTTGGAAGCGTCTGTCAAGACCACCTTCCTTCTGCAGAACATCCCGGGGGCACGCCCCATTCCATCCACTGAGAGTCTTTCCAGGGGCCAGAGCTCCTCTGCCGAGCCATTGGTTCGTTTTTAATTCACTGCACGAACCAATGGCCATGCAGTTACACTGCGTTATTGAAAAAGGCTTCAGTCATCGGAGAAAAAGGAGTTTTCCCCATAGCGTCTTAGCAGACGCAGTACGAGTGAAGTATCGATAGAGAACCCACCCCCCAAAAATCACCCATAGACATCAATTGAAGACTATACAAATTTAGATTTTTTGTTACATAATTTGTCAAAAATGGCAGTTACAATGCAGACAACACACAAAATCTGAAGGGGTGACACCACAGCACATCCACGATGGAGGAAAAACACACACAACCCCCACCCCACCCCCCAACCCATAATCAGAATCAGAATCAGAATCAGAATGAGCTTTATTGCCAGGTATGTTTACACATACGAGGAATTTGTTTTCGTGACAGAAGCTTCCACAGTGTAACAGAATGACAGTGACAGAACAAAAAACACAGATAATAAAAAATAGAACAAGTAAATAAGGAATAAAAATATATAAATTGACAGTTGTATGTGCAGGTATATTACAATAGACAGTCTGTCCGGAATGGCGTCTTTCAGCCAGGTTTCCGTGAAACACAGAGCAGCAGAGTTTGAAAAATCCTTATTTGTCCGGGAGAGCAGAAGGAGTTCGTCCGTTTTGTTGGGTAGAGAGCGGAGATTTGCCAGATGGATGCTTGGCAACGGCGTCCTGAATCCACGCTGTCTGAGCTTGACGAGCGCGCCGGCTCGCTTCCCCCGTCTGCGCGTCCTGAAGCGTTTGATCAGCGCCGCAGCTCCCCCAACAACAATGTCCAGCAAAACATCAGAATAGTCGAAAACCGGTGAAATATCGGGTGGTGTGTACTTCCGAATGTCCAGCAATTCGTCTCTGGTGAAACTGATTGCAGGGATATAACTAAAGACAGGACAAACTAACAAAAACATAAAAACAACTGCGGAGCACGCCACGGAGGCAGCCATCAGCGTCGGCGCCATCTTAAAATGATCTAAAACCCGCCATCATAAAACCCACTCGTAAGAAATGAAATATTGACATGACATGAGTGGCTCTCTCTTACATAATTTGTTGAATAAAAATCAGCTACAACAAAGAACACACACAGAAATGATGGAGGGAAACCACAGGACATCCACAATGGAGAATAAATGCAAACACACACATACACTCACTAATACACACACATAACACCACATGCAGTTTTGACTGTAATCATGTCATAACTGCAAAAAAATTCTATGTCTGTACAAAAAAATGCTAAACTTCGGCAAAGAGTCATTTTATATTATTGCAATAATGATTTTGTAGTATCTTAACATTAATCTAATAAAAAAAAACTTGTGAAAAGATCTATACCTATGTGGAAATGGCAAAATGAGCCACTGAGTAATGCTCTAGAGCCATCTGGTGGCTGTAGTTAAAATTTCATGTTTTTTTTTATTTTAAAAGTGTTTGTTTTCAAATAGATGGAAACAATTTGGCATTAAACTATGGCACATTGCCCATGTTATCCTCATGCATTAAAATTAGAAATGTGGGTCTTTTATAAAGCGAATTTTACATTTAAAAAAAAATGTTTTTTATATAAAAACATATTAAAAATATTTTTTAACTCATTTATATAAATTTTACAAATATCATAAATCCTCCAAAAACTGCACAAATGTAGCGAAAAAAAAACATTAATAAACGGAGTAAAATTACATTTGTAAAAAAAAAAAATTTAAAACAATTATTCTGTAACAAAATTACATTTTGTTGTCTGGGGTCTCTGGAGACCCCAAACAGCATGAGTGTCACACCCAAACGAACAGTGCACACGGGTTAAGCACCAAATCAGCATATTAGAATGATTTCTGAAGTATCACGTGACACTGAAGACTGGAGTAATGATGCTAAAAATTCAGCTTTGCATCACAGGAATAAATTACATTTTAAAATATATTCAAATAGAAAAAAATATTTCACAATATTCCTGTTTTAACTATATTTTTGATCTAATAAATTCAGCCTTGGCAAGCATATAAGACTTTTTTTTTTTAAACACTTAATAAAATCTTACAGTCCACAAACTTTTAAATGGTAGTGTGCATTTTGTGTACGATTTCTGGTTTGTGTCATCCGTAGCGCACCATGACTTTGGCCATTTTTATGGCTCCAGCTATGTAGCTGCACCTGACGGCAGCAGATCCCCAGGATTATCCAGAACCCGTGATGGCCTGCTGGTGACAGAGATGGACTTGAACCTAAATCGCCAAGTTGCAGACAAATGGAATTTCAAGGTGGGATAAAAAAAAAAAAATCACTATCACTACACGTTCAACTTTACATTTCATCAGATAGAGGTTAGATAGTCAATAAGGTTTGTCTCTGGTAGCATCTGCATGCCATTCACATGTGTGAATCTCTCCGTAGATGACTGGGAGGTATGAAATGTATGCAGAGGAGCTCAAAAAAGCCATCCAGCATGACTTCAAACCCAACATTGTTAAGGAGTGAGTTTATCTGGAAAACATGAGTGCCAAAAGCCCTTGAGAGGAACCGCACTTTCAGCTGAAAGCCATGCTTGGCACATGGAGAACCACATTATGTATTAGCGATAAGTCCTTGTACCTCTACTTGAATTTCACAAAATAACTTATATAATTTATCAGTTCATTTTTAAGGTCAATAATGGAAGGATGCATTTGAATAAAATACAAATCCAACTTTTATTAATTTCTGAAATGCAACTATATATTTCATAAAAATAAAGTTTGCCATATCAATATTCCTTATGTTCTTTAAAAAAAAAAGCACAAGCTGATGTAATTGGACACCTGATGTCTTAAAAATCAAAGAAAAAACAACATTTAACCTGAATGATCAAAGATTAAATAACATAATTATGGCTGGTGGAACAACATAGTGCAAGCATTTCATTTGTCAGCCATTGTGTCACAATCAACGATTGAACCATTTGAACCACTGAGCAGGCATAGTGTGTTTACAAGATAGCAAACAGCAAAGCATTCACAACACAGTTCAGACCTTTTCAAATGGTGCACAACACCTGACGGTAAAACTCTAACCCTAGTGTTCCTGTTCTCTCTCGGAGGAATTAACCGAGTGTAGTTACTATGAATTACGCCAACACAATATAATCATGGGAATTGACCAATGTAATACAGTAAATTACACAGAAACCGGTCTAATACTGTACTAGTGCTATGAGCGAGTTTAAAATGTACTTTATGATCACGGTTCGCGGTTCAGAGTCGCCCACAAAGCAGCCAAACGCTCTCTTGCTACTCTACATGAGGTTATGACAGACGTCCAGGTGATTCTGTTCTCGAGGAAACCCCTGGAGAAGTGAATCCACACATATTGCACCTATGAAACTTTTTCCCGACAGTGGGATATAATTTAACATGCTGGATTTATCAAAGCTTACCTGAGTTTTTAAAAACAGCTTTTCTCTTTTACAATAATTAAAACCTTTCATTGTGTTAATTAAGTGGCTTCCAAGAGAAAAATAATAAAATGAAAAATCAACACAACCCCATGATTTTGCAAGGTTACCCTGAACAAACACAAAGTCTCTATCTTTACATGAATGGAAAAACATTATGTACACTCCTGCTCCACCTCTTACAGTGGCAGATTATATATGAGCTATAGATAAAAATATAAGTCCACATCACAATAATGATGAGTTACATATATATATATATATATAGCATTTCCCTTTCCTTTCTGTGTGAATATTTCATTCAGTGGCCAATGTAGCACCATAGTAATGCTTCGTGCGATGCTATAGCTCTAATGAAGACCATAGCCAGAGGTGACACATACTACCTGCTATTGGCCAGCAGCACTGGTTCCTGTTGGCAAAAATGCTACCCAGCCAACCACAGTGGATGCAAAAGGTGTTTTGAATGTTTGTTCATTCAGAAGCTGTCAAGACTCAGCCGTCTTTGTAGATGAACAGAATATCCTCGTCAGTTCCGTAGCTTCTTCTGGCCTCCTCGAAATTACTAAAGCTTGTGCAGCACACACCTGTCAATCAAAGATATGGGCATATATGTTAATGTGTAAGATTCTGTATTATCATTAGGAAAACTTTAGCCAAAAAAGAATATTTCCTGAAAATGTACTCACCCTTAGACCATCTGAGATGTACATGAGTTTGTTTCTTCAACAGAGTTGGAGAAATTTAGCATTACATCACTTGCTTATCAGTGGATCCTCTGCAGTGAATGGGTGCCGTCAGAATGAGAGTCTAAACAGCTGATAAAAACATAACAATAATCCACACGACTCCAGTCCATTGAAAGTTAAAATGCCTTAATGATGGATTTGTTTCATACAAACACAAAGCTTTTTACTTAACAAAATGTTTATTTGTGGACTAGAGTATTACTCGTGGATTATTGTGATGTATTTAATCAGCTGTTTGGACTCTTATTCTGACGGCACCCATTCACTGCAGAGGATCCATTGATAAGCAAGTGATGTAATGCTAAACTTCTCCAAATCTATTCTGATGATGAAACTAACAATCTACATCATGGATGGCCTGAGTAAATTTTTTAGCAAATTCTCCTTTGTGGTTTAACTATTTATTTAAAAATAACCATAATAAACACTGTAATAAATAAGGCTGTTGGGTCTAAGATGTAAGTGACCTCAAAAAAGTATTTGGAAATTTAAAAAAATAAAATAAAATAAAATATTTTATTTGGATACTTCAAGTATCCAAGTATTTTTGTTTAAATATTTGAATTAATATTCATTAATATTATTATTATGTATTTAACCATTTAAACCCTATGTGTGTGTTTTTAAAAAAAGTTTTGCATTAACAGTGTGCTTGTGCTGTCTTTAAGAATAATTCCAAAACTTCACAATACATACGGTCCGAGTAGGCGGGGTTGTTGTAGAAGATGCTGCCAGTTTTACGGTTAAATCCACACACCACCACAAAGTGGCCCTGGTAATCTGGCTTCCTGCAAAAGCACTTCTGACCCACAGGGAGGAAACAGCAGTATTTGACAGGGGTGGAGCACAGCTCACACACCAACACCACTGCGTTGACCAGCACGATGGCCACGTGACCCTGCTCCAGGTGGCTCTGGATCTCCTGAACCGTAACAGAGCTACAAGAACAAGATGTGATCAGATTTCTTCATGCACAGCACAGGAGTTTCAGCTTACTGGAATATGTTTTGATATAATCTCGAAATGAAAACTTCTGATGTCACAGAACTGGAACTATATATACACAACTATTAAATTAAATTTGATACTGTTTTGTCTAAATTAATAAAAAAAATTAAAACTATGATTTTAAATAGATTTTAAGCATCCATGTAGTCCACAGAGTGCATAAACTGATAAAAATATGTGTGTTCAAGGCAATGTAATTTGCATTTAATAAAAGCTTTTTTAAAGATAAGTTAAATGTAAAAATCTAATTATAAAAATGCATACTTAAATATATAGTATTGCCAATAGTAATAAATTCCAAAAGTTCAATATTGTGCATGGCTTTTTGACCAACCAGTTTCCATGACTTTTCCAGTTATGCCTAATTACTGCATAGAATGTCTTTATAATATGATTAAAAACTGTTTTATTAAATACATTAAATATTTGTTTGTTTTTAACAACCGTATTCATTTCCATGATCCAAGCATGGAATTTCTATTTATATATATCCAAATTTTCAATTACGATTTTAACCCGCACAAAGTGTCAGTATGCGCCACAAAGGAAAAAAAGAAAATGTGTTAAATGTGGAAACCTCACCATTTTTTCACCAGGACTCCTTTGCTTTCAGCCTTCAGAAATAGTTCATTCACCCTGTCCTCTTCCGTGTCAAAATGCTTTTTGTAGAAAGACTAAATGCAGAAGAACACAAGAAATGGAAAAATTATTCAGATGCCAAGGTGATCACTCTCGAGTCCGAACTGATCCTTTGATTAAAATTACAGCTCTTCAATCATAAATAAAATCAAGAATATTATTTATATGAATGTTAAAACGGCCCTGACTAATGCCATTTTCTTGGAAAAATTGACTGAAACATCCATTCTTTACTGCGCTGCATGTGACACTTAGCTTGTACTCTATCTGCAGTGATCATGACTGTATCACATGATTTGAAAAACAGATAGCACCTGGTTCCTGAAGCCCTTGTCCACACCGAGCGTCTGTGTGTAGAAGCAGTGTCTGACCCCCAGCTTACACATGAGATAAGCCAGGTCAATAGTCCACACGCTCTCCGTAAACTCCAAGTCCAAGCACGCTCTCTGAAATTCCTCCTCACTTACTGGATGTAAATACCTGTGCACAAAAACAAGAGTTTAAATATTTACCATTAGAGTAACTGTGCATAATACATCACTTAGGATTCATACTTACTCTAGTACCATTCTCGAACAGGCCAAGCCACAATCCCAGTGGTACAGCTGCCGGATGACCGGTACGTTTAACATCACATCATCTGACAAGATCAGACAGGAAGCTGGTAATGTCACTGAGCAGCATTCACATTAACCCAAGTTGCATTATCTGGTTGTATTGAAGATAAATTCGTTTTGGTTGTGAATTGAGGTATATAAAACCATTATGTTGTATTTTATACATATAAAATCGAAAAAAACAACAACAAAAAACAGGTAAATGAGAGTGAATAACAACTTGGAAAAGTTATACACAAGCAGCATGAGGATAATATATGAACTGTTCATTTAAATTAAATATATCCGGGTTGAGTATTTTGTATATTAGAGAAGGGTCATGATTGATTATAATGCTAGTTAGTTTACACAGTTTCTAGCCATCTAAGATGTTCCGTTTAAACGTAATTTATCACAAACTCACCGTTCATGATGCAGTCGGTGTGTGCCTCTCTGTGTTATTGTGTTTCAGTGATGTTTAATAGCAGGGCTTGATTCATGAAGAGTGTCTGCTAGCGAAGTTAACATTAGCCGGGCAGTTGTTGCCCTGTTGTCCTCCACATAGGACTCGCTAAAATCTGTCCATCTTTAGCTCAATGAAAGCTGTTTACGGACTGTTAATGAAAAGCGGTGAAACAGCTACAAACACGACTTGTTTAGCCCACGCCTTGTGGTCATTCCCAGGGATGAATGCTTCACTTCCTCTGTGTCAATCCAAACCACAGCGAGCGTCGGTACACGGAACTGCGCCCTCTGCTGGCAACACGATAAATTACAGTAAAACTCCACCTCGATTCGACAAAAATAGTGAAGAACTAGAATATTTATAGAATTTTTTTTTTAGAATTCTGTTTCTATATCAGTTTTAAATACATTTAATGACATTTTCCCCCAAGATGGGTAAATACGAGTAATTTTATTTATATCAATTATTATTATTTATTACATTTATTCTAATTCAACATAAATAAAAAAGCACAGGGTACATTTGTGATTAAATTGGTTCATTCTATGGCTAGGTATTTAGGAATATTGTTTCATTTGCTATGCTTATAGGGCTTTTTACTAATACCTAAATACCTAGTAATAGAAATAACTAATTTAATGACAAATTTACCCCAAAATACCACAACGTGGTTTTATCGTTTGAATGTTGTGTCATTCAGTCCGGTAGGTGGCAGTACGTGTCTCCAGTTGAATAAAATCCCGGAAATTCTATTGAACACCAAAGACAAAACTGTGGACGTTCGGCGCACGTTTGGGTGAGTTTTTATTAATTTCTCTGAGAAAGGTAAAACTGGGTCGTGTCTGTGTGTGTTTATTTGTAGATTTATTGTTAAATTATTACTTCTTGTTATGTGTGTGTTTTTATTTTGCTTATGACAAACTTGCGTTAAGATCCGTCTGACCCATTCATTTAATTTAAACGGCTTCCATTAGTTTTCACCTCCTCGTAAAGCAAAGATTTATCTTTTGTCTAAGTTATTTGTCCTCTGCCAAGTTTTCTGCGGCGTCTTATTTTCTCTCTCTCTTAAAGTTGACAGATAGCTTGTTAAGATGTCCATTGGAGTGCCCATCAAAGTTCTTCATGAAGCAGAGGGACACATAGTCACCTGTGAAACCAACACTGGGGAGGTTTACAGGGGCAAACTGATCGAGGCTGAGGACAACATGAACTGCCAGGTACTGAGATTTGTCCTGCGTGTTGCAAACTAATCTCCTGAAAGTCTCTTAATTATTTCCTTATAGAAACCTATTAATGTAATAACATTTTTAGTTATCTTAATACTTGCATTGGATATATATATAT